GCAACATTCCATTATTTTGCTTTATGCGGTTTTGTTTATATATATATATATATATATATATATATATTGTATACTTGATGATTTAATGACACTCTGTCCTTATGTAATCATTGGTTGTGATCTGAAGTTTATAGTTTATATAGAGTGGAAGCTACAAGACATAATAAAGAAATTTAAAAAGAGTTTGTCCCTCTCTCAACACCTGAGAAAATTTTTTTTTTTTTCTTTTGTTTTACTGAACTGCAGAGGTTTCTAGAAAAGGCAAGGAAAACGGACATGCAGATTTCAATGGAAAGCTGTCTAAGCGGGCAAGTAAAAAGGCATTACCAAAATCCACAGGTTCAACAACTTCGAATGAAGGTGCTTCGACATCTGGTGTTGTTTCCCAGACAGCATCAGGAGTATTATCGGGGTCTGGTCTTCTGAATGCTAGACCTGGGAGCACAACATCCTCCGGATTACTTTCTCAAATGGTGTCATCTCTGAATGCTGATGTGGCTCGAGAGTATCTTGAGAAGGTTGTAGATCTTTTGCTACAATTTGCCAAAGCTGATTCTACTGTAAAATCTTACATGTGTAGCCAAAGCCTGTTAAGTCGACTTTTCCAAATGTTCAATAAGATAGAGCCCCCTATTCTATTAAAGGTGATTTTGAGATCGATGCTGATGATATGTATACATTTCGTTTATGATTCTAGGGGTTAATTAATGTGGATTTATTTTTATTTTTTTATTTCAGATCCTCATGTGCATTAATCATCTTTCTGGGGATCCAAACTGCTTGGACTCTCTTCAGCGTGCAGAGGCAATCAAGCATCTGATTCCTAATCTTGAACTCCATGAAGGGCCTTTTGTCTCTCAATTACATAGTGAAGTAAGTGTGCAAACTTTCTAAGATTTTTGGAAATGATTTATTTAACAAAGGATATTTGTATATATTAAGTTGTACATGTGTTTTCCTAAGTTACTGCTTGTGTATTATCATTGCACATTGTTCGTCGCCAATGCCTTAGCAGTCCTTGCAGACTTGCAGGAATGAGATGAGGCCATGGGCTAGTGATTTTAATTACCATCATTTGTGATAGCTACTTATGGGAGCATTTGTAATCAAGACGAGAAGTTTGGTAACTTAGCTAAGGTTCCTTTGTTTGGACTTTTGAAAGAAGAAGCCTATTTCCTATGTATATCAAAATTTTGAGTGAGGAGATTTTCTTTCTTCCCGGACTTTTTTTTTGAGAGAGAGAGCTTGAATTTGGTGAGATATTCTCCAAACCTCTTCATTAGTTTTTGAAAATCAGATTTAATATTTTTCATAACTGTTCTCAATTTGTGCTTCATATTTTAGGGAAGTAATTATTTATAACTCCCCCCTCCCCCCTTTCTCTTGATGTGGATCAATACTGATCAAATCATATTAATCATGTTCGTCTTCTTATTTTGATGGAGGAATTATTTGTGCCTTTTTCCCCATGGTTGTATGTCTAACTTGATCTAGTCACTTAAATCAGGTGTTCTTGTCTTTTTGAATTTGTGTGCGCTTTGATAGTTTTATTGTTTCTACCAAGTCAATTCGATTGATCTCTTTGATGCCTGGAAAGAGGGATTTGGGGCAACAAATAGTATCAGAGTTTTGCAAGGTTCAATCTTGGAGACAACATTATCATATCCTTCTTCAAATTCTTGCAAATTTAAATATGAAAAATCTAATGAGAATAATGGTTTCAACATCATGAAAGCATGTTTAGGATAGTTTGCCTAAAACCTTAATTATTGTGCTTGATTTTGGATGTTCATATCACATGGATCTTCATAATGACTGAATTTTTTTTTAATTCATTTATTGATGGTGTAAAAGCCCTTATTGAAAATTATATGACCTGTATGAATTTTGGGATAGGGATGGTTCAGATCAAGAGATGATGGAGATTTTTTTTTTTTTTTCTGTCAGGACAAACTTGTGCTAGCATTGAAGAAGAATCTTTTGTCTTTATGTTGTATGGACTCTTCTGGGTGTGTATTTTCATTGTTGATGTTAGAATTTTACATATGTTCAAGGATGCCATGGTTTTGATGATGGCAACAAAAATTGGTAATTTTACTTTCTTTGTGGCAACATAGTGATAGTGCGTTACTTTCTCCTTAGATGATTTTCACCAGATGATGCCATGTGGACATATATCAACGAAGGCCTGTCAAAATTGAGCTAGAAATTCTTAAATTTGTGCTAAGAAGTATTGTGTTTTGTGTAAACATCACGAATTGAAATTATCTACTAGAGTTTATTACATCAAGACTGCTTTGAATTATACTAATTTTGACTGGAGGATTACTATCTTTCTTAGATCTAAAGGTGGACATAGATACATGCTTACCTTCATATGTTATTTCTCAAGGTATGGGGTTTACGTGTTACGATAGAAGAATGATGTATTTAATACATTCAAGAAGTGAAATTCATAAATTTAGAAGCAAATATAAAAGAAAATCAGAAGGTTAATGACAGACAATGACGTGATTTTATTCTTTTGAGTTTGAGACCTTTTTTGGATGGAAGACTGTCATATACAGGACTGCAATGGGTACATCACGGCAAATAAGGTCACATAAATACTGAACAGGAGGCTGCTGTGAGGATTTAATGATGTTATCTAATTTCGTGCAGAGCAAATATTTTTCGGGCAAAGGCTTTTAATATTATGTGTTTTTAGTTTAATATATCTCAGACTGCTATATTGAGTTTAGTAAACCAAAGTAGGTATGTTCAGGTTATCCTGTAGATTATTTAGTTCTAAGGGTCATTGGTCGACTTCCTGATCGAGTTCTAAATGAAAGTGTTGGTGGCCTTTTCCTTTTTTTTTTCTTCCTTGGATAAAGGGTGGAAGTTTTGATGTTTGACTGTACATATGGTTGACTGATCTCTTGTTTGAGCGGAGAGAGAGCGAGATATTTCACAATGCTACACATTACAGTGGTTGGCCATGAACTAACTTAAATCAGTCAAGAGGAGTGGACAAAGGCTTTATGGTTCTTGATAAGCAACCATAACGTAGTGGGCTTGCCTTGAGGTATGTCTCCCTAGAGAACACTCCTATGAAAAAGTTTGTAAGTCGATTTAAGGCTCAAGAAAGAATGGCATGACTAATTTCTTCCCAAAAGTTTTTTAAATTTTGAAATGATTTTTAGGTATATTGATTAGCATGTTTTGAACTATGGTTTATTTTTGTAATCTGATGGAAGGCTCATCATGCATCTTTAGACAATCTGCTTTGTTGAATCTGGCCTATTGTTAGTCCTGCCTTCGCTCTGTGGAGATTATGAATATGCAAATTATGATGCTGCCATCTGAACGGCCAGGATCAAGCACGACAAATTTATTATTTTAATGTTTCATTTGCATTCATACCTCCTAATTCTTATGTAATTAGATATCTAACAGCTAAATTTTAATATTTAAATTTATTAAAAATCTTTTATTTCACATCAAAATTACCACTATTTTAACTTTTAAAAAGTGATGCACCTTTTTCATCTATAGTTATGGTGGCATATATGTTAAAATTGAAGTTCAAGTGTTAAATATGTAAAATAGATAAGAAATGAGTGTTATGCGTGTTCTCATTTTAATTTCCTTTTTGAGTGCTTGTTTTGTTAATTAGCAAAACTGCATCCCTGTTACCTAAATGAAAGAAGCAGGAAGACTCACCTCTCACTTCATTCCCACTCAAAATTTCAGGTCCTTTGTGCATTATTCAACCTCTGCAAAATAAACAAGAGAAGGCAGGAACAAGCAGCTGAGCATGGAATTATTCCCCATCTAATGAAGTTCATCATTTCGGATTCACCCTTAAAACATTGTGCATTGCCTCTGCTTTGCGACATGGCCTATGCTTCACGAAACTCCACGGAGCAGTTACGGGCTCACGGCGGATTAGACGTGTATCTAAATCTATTGGTGGATGAAGCATGGGCTGTTACCGCCTTAGATTCCCTTGCAGTCTGCTTGGCTCATGACAGTGACCACAGGAAAGTTGAGCAAGCTCTACTGAGGAAAGAAGCTATTCAGAAGCTAGTGAAATTTTTTGGGAACTGCCCAGAACACTATTTTGTGAACGTTTTGGAGCCATTTTTGAAGATCATTACGTATGTGTTTGAATAGTCATCACTCCCCAACCTCAATTTGCATACTTTTACCCCTCTTATTACATTTGTTTGTATTATTTGTAATTAATTTTGTAGGAAATCGCCGCGAATAAATACCGCAATGGCCACCAATGGTCTGACCACTCATCTCATTTCAAGACTAGACCATCACGATGCTATTGCTAGACTTAATCTTCTAAAACTAATCAAGGTTGGTTTTTTATTTATAGTTTTAAAAGATTTACATACTCAGCACTCATTTCCTATGTATTTGCGTATCTACCTGCATGAAATATCAAAAGATTTGGATGGTATAAATGTAAAGAGAAAATTTAGGCGTTAGATATGTGAATACATAGAATTTTGGTAGTATACATGCAAACGCCCCCTTAAAAAATAAGATTATTTTAAAATACATGTTGACAAGCTTATTATGTTGTTATGCGCTTGTGAAGGCTGTCTATGAGCACCATCCAAGACCGAAGCAGCTGATAGTGGAAAATGACCTCCCTCAGAAGCTTCAGAATTTGATCGAAGAGCGAAGGGATGGACAGAGATCCGGACAGGTTCTTGTTCAGCAAATGGCGACTGCACTGCTGAAAGCTCTCCATATCAACACTGTTTTGTAGCTTTAAATTACTGAGTTATATCTCAATTTGCTTATCAGGTAAATGTAAATATTCCTCCCCTTTTCTTATTTTAATTTTTTCAATATTAAATCTGTACATGCACGAATCGTAGCTTTTATAATCATGCAATGATTGTTCAGTCGCCAGCATTTGATGTCCTATGAATGCTAAATGGGCCATTTTGATGCACTGTAAGTTGATTGTTTGCTGATAATGCATTTTGGTTAAATAATTAATTTGCTGTTATCCATAGAACAATTTGAGCATCTTTTCGGCCCATGCTTGTAATGTATGATTAGAAGATGGCTAACTTAAAAATAAATGGGGGCATCTACATATGTATCACACATTTCATGTGCTTATATATCTAACACCTGATCTTTCATATTTACATTTGTGACCCTCAAATCTTTAATATTACATTGAAAATACTATTATTGATGCCTTCTTAAAAGTGGAATGTATATTTTTCACATCTACGTTTATGACTGCAAAGTCTTGTAAATGTAAATATCTAACTTGTAGGAATCGGGTGGTATGCATGTAGAATTCATTTGTCTACTGGTAATGCTAAATCATTGCTATGCTACTTTCAATAAACAGTGAAGTCTTATAATTCATAAGTCTAAAGAGCTATAATTTTGTTTTAAATCTTTTTTATTTTTTTTAAATTTTTATTAAAAAAAATGATATCGAATTATTGCTGTGAAATTTAATGTAACATGGGGGAATTCACTAATGTTATGTATTAATATTATTATTATTATTATTCTGGCTCTGAATGAATTAAACATTTTCACATCCATGGCCTCACTGATCATCGGATTTATAAATGGAATTTATTAGTATATATTAGATATTAGGCGCTTCAAATAGAAGAAATATTGTATTCAGGTGTCCGCACGTTCAGACGGTTAACCACTATTGCCACGTCATCCATCGATAAGGTTGATGGCGATGTGGCGGCTGATGGTTGACTGTCCATTATTTATAAATGGAATTTATTAGTATATATTAGATATCAGGCGCTTCAAATAGAAGAAATATTGTATCCAGGTGTCCGCACGTTTAGACGGTTAACCACTATTGCCACGCCATCCATCGATAAGGTTGATGGCGATGTGACGGCTGATGGTTGACTGTCCAGACGTGTCGGTAATGATTTTTGTTCTCATTAATATATTTACACTTTAGCATGTGAAGATTGTCCCAAAATCGGATTGGAGCAAGTATATTTGGTTCAATGGCCATTCCACTTAATTTGTTGTGATTGTGTAAAAAATTGTCATAGGTCTCCTAAAAATAAATGACATACTCTTCAATAGAGAGATTCATGTTAATCAATATTGTACTTTTTGTCACTCTATGATAGAATCTTATACTCACATATTTTTTGAATTCTCTCATTCTACTCATTACTTGAGTGGTGGTTCCTAGTAAGAACTTTTTTTTGGAAGCAATCTATTTCAGGCGATTACTTATTTTGATAATTTTACATGCAAAATATCCAATATATACATACATATATATGTTTGCAATTGTGCATGTTGTCTGGACTGAAAGGAATAGTAGGCATTTTAAAAATTTCATCACTCATTTTGATTCTCTTATACATGAAATATATATTTCAATTAGACAACGTGAAAAATGAATATTAAAATGTGAAAATCTAATCTAATTATAAGACTATACAAATTTTGATGTTCAAATATTTTATACATTTGTTTTACTCTTCTTTTTAAAAACAGACTGAATCTATATTCTCTTTTGACTTAATTTTAGTTAAGTTATGATGAAATCCAACACTATTTATAGGCTCAATTGATAATGCAAACATTAATCATTGTCTGCTGCTTGGGATTGATATATGAGAATTTGTCTTATTGTCTTACATATGTTTGATTTTCAATTCACAGTTGGTTTTGTGTTGTTGACTTCATTTATTTGGTTGTGATATGTTGAGATAGAAACCATATGCTTATGATACGCATAACCTAAAAATTCACTATTAGCTAACATTCTGTGAATTTCTTCATTCAGCACCAGCCCTACTATGTCATCAAAGCTCAACTTCACATTACCATAAGAGTTATTGTCGTAAACAAACCATCATAGTTGTCCAGCAATGAAGATAGTATTAATAGTGCCCTAATCTTATCATCAAACAAGATACCTATAGAACACAACTGACTTGTTATAGTGTTGAAATTGTTCAGATGTTTTGCCACTGAATTATCTTCCATTATCTTCATGTTGAATAACATCTTCATTAGAAAAATCTTATTTGAAGCAGAATATTTTTTGTACATATTTAATAGTGCATTCATGAGATCCACCATGATTCTCATTCACAATATTAAACACAACAAACGTGGAAAGTGATAAACGAATCAAAACCAAGGTTATTCAATCCAGCACCTCTCATTCCTTCATAGTCATAGACTCGGGCTTCGTGGTGATACCATGTAGTTGCAAATATTTGTTTTTCTTATATAGCAAATCATTCACTCGCATCCTATAAAATGTGAAGTTTGTCTCATTGAACTTCCCTATTTTGTACATTGTTTCATTAGTCATTGCTCCATCTCAATTCAAACACTCTAGCTTCGATACTACTTTGTTAGGATGGAAGTCCTATACTTTTTTCTAGGGCTTCAATCCAAATAGAAATCAAAACAACACTATAGAATAGGATTGTATTGATTCAAGAAAATAAAAATATAATATTTAAATAGAAGCACAATAATAGTAAAAAACTATGGAGCCACACCACAAGATATTACCACTATGAAAAGTCAAAAAAGTATAAAATACTCACTCGTATATCTTCTTTACAATCAAGAGAACTTACAAGACTTGCTCCAAACTCTTTCGCATGATCTCACAAGAGAAAAGGACATTGAAATCTTCCTCTTTGACACTTCTATCCTTCACAAGATCTTTGTAGAAAGAATCGATTGAGCGGAAGAAAGCGGTCGATCTGGCAGAAAAGCACACTGAAGCCCTTATATATCACCATCAATTTGAACAAGCCCAAATTAATTCTTATAATTCAAACAACCAACTTGAATTCTAATAATAACATCCCCATCTATATCACCTTAATGTATTTACATTTCTAACACCTAAACTTCAGTTTTTACGAATATTAACATGCATATACACAAACTCTATCATAATGTGAATTTTTTTTTTACATGCATACCACATTACCTATGAAATAGATTTTCATATATACCACTCAATACTTTAATATAGTCAATGTTTTCAAATAGGATGAGAGCAGAAGGATGAAAAATATGGGAGTTTTGATCAAGGGTTGTGTGCTCACTCCTTGCTGTCCCAGTTAGCTCCAATGGAGATCACAGAACTCATGTGAGGTTCTCGGGCGAGGGTGTCGGAAGAGAGTTTGGAAGGTGGGTGCGAGGGTTTCAGGCGAGGCTGAGAGGGTGCAAGGGTTTCATGAGAGCGTTGCGAGAAGGAAGAAGAACAAGTGGTACGAAGAAAAACTAAAACGGAGAGAACGATATGTGTTTTTTTAGGTCTAATGAGTCGCCTTCTGCGTCGATTTAGTTGACACAAATCTGCCTCAAAAACTGTTGCACTGTTAGTGAAAACTTTGTCATTCATTGCCTCAAATATTCAAATACTAATCTGACGCATATCCGTCATAAAATACGACGCAAATTTATGTGTCGAAAATTTCTGACTCAAATTTCAGACATTATTTGCCTTATCTCTTGTAGGTATAGAATAGAAATTTCTAAACTTTTGATGATGATGCTCGCCCTTTTTATCTGATTTGAGACACTTCAAATTTATGTCCGACTCATTTTCTACCATGAACTTTCACTTCTTACAAACTTCAAATATGCAAGATTTTTTACTTTAAGAAGTAAACTCATACCCTTTTGGTGTTATTGTCAATTAATGTAATAAAGTAATGGGAACCACTAAAGGACTAAACTTGAGTAGGATCTCATACATCTGCATGCACTAACTCATGTTTCTTTGGCTTTACCAGTGACCCACTTTTAGAGAAAGAAAATTTCTTGTGCTTTCTATATATACAATATTCTAAGAAATCCAAATCTACTAATTTCTAACCCATAAATTTAATTTTAGAAAGTAGGGACTTCATATCTTTCTCCTTCAAATAACCAAGCATACGGTGTCATAGACTTGCATCTACCTTGATTCCAGCCACATCAATAAAATTTATTATTTCATTGATTAATTAAAGAGTGCCTTCAATTGTCCTAAGCCATTACTATTGCCCCCTGGTCACCTTTCATGAATTACTTGTGAAAGTTGTCACGAAAATGACTTTGCAGCCAACTCACAAAGATGAGATTTCTTTTCAAACTTGGAACATGTCTTAACTTTAGTAAACGTCCAGAATGTTTCATTTGACAACTTGATATCCACATCATATTTTATTACTATATTGCAAGCATTGTTATCGCTCAAATAAATCTTCCCTAGATCACTATGAGTAAACTTTTTTAATACCACTTGTTTGGGACATGTGAAAAGAGGTACTCAAATCTACTATCCAAGATTCAACATTTATTAGGGATAAAACCAGGGAGTCGCCTTGAATTTTGCTTGTGGAGAATTGTAGAGAGATTCATTTCCGGTCCACCACCAAGTTTCCTTGGAAATTTATAATCTTCCTTAAAATGCCCTTTATTTTCACAATTCAACATTATTCTATATCATTTTTTCTTCTTGACTTGGACTTTCCTTTCCTAGACTTGAATTTTTCTCTGCTTATATTCATGTTCAGATTTTGTTCTCTATTGTTTGTATTTAATACAGAACCTGAAGATTCATAATTCACTGAATTTTTGTGAACTTCTTCATTCAACACCAACATCACAATGTCATCGTAGTTCGGCTTCATATTCTCAGAAGAGTTACTCACTATTGTGGTCATATCATCTCATTTATTCGACAACGAAGATAATATCAATAGTATCCTGACCTCATCATCAAACTTAATTCTTACATAACACAATTCTTGTTACAGTGTTAAAATTGTTCAGATGTTTTATCATTGAATTATTTTTCATTATCTTCATGTTGAATAATATTTTCATCAGAGAAAACTTATTTAAAACAAAATGTTCTTTGTGCAACTTTGTTAGTATTGTCATGAGATCCTTTGTGATTTTCTCATTCACTATATAAAACACAACAGATGAGAGAAATGATAAACAGGTCAAATACAAAATCTCCCATTCCCCCATAGTCATAAGCTCGAGCTTCTTGATGATAACTTGAATCGGCCAATACATTTTTTGCTGATATAATAAATCCTCTACTTTCATCCTTCAAATTTTGAAGTTTGTCTCATTGAACTTCTTCATTTTGCTCCTTGCTCCGTTGATCATTACTCTCATTAAAATTAAACACTCCGGCTCTGATACCACTTTGTTATGATGAAAACCTTATACTTCTACTAGGGCTTAGATCCAATTAAAAATCACAACCACACAGCAAAATAGGATTACACTAATTCAAAAAAATTGAAACAAAATATTCAAAACGAAGCACAACCAAAAAAAAAAATCCAAAAAACACACCAAGATTTAATCTGAAAAAAACCTAAGAACGAAAAAAAAAACACGGAATCACACAATCAAAAAATTTTACTATGAAAATTTTATGAAGTACAGAATACTCATTCAGATCTCCCTTCTATAATGGATGAAACTTACAGGACATTGCTCCAAACCCTTTCTCTTGATCTTACAATAAAAAAAAACATGTTACAATCTTCATCTCTAACACTTTCTTTCATGGAACCTTCGCCAAAAGAGCCGCAAGTGAGACTCAGAGTGCGTTTGAGACAGCTTGTGCTTATTCAGATAAGCAGTTTATCCTAAAACGTGGCCAGCGAGGGTGCGTTTGGGACAGCTTGTGCTTATCCAGATAAGCAGTTTATCCTAAAACGTGGCCAGCGATTAGCCCGCGGGGTTCGACCCGGGGTCTGCGTTTAGTGTAAAAACCCAACTGTGTTTTCAGATAAGCTACCGAAATGTGTTTTCCAAACGGTGATGCGGCGCCGCCCGCACTTATAAGTTGTCCCAAACAGGCCCTCATCCTTCGACTTGAAATCACAAATTTAAAGACAATAAGAATAGAACCAACCGCCTACTGGCATGATCACGCTGCATCATTCTTTGGATTTCTTGAGGCCCCAATGCACCATAGGTTCTTAACTGTTTCTTGCATTGCTGCAGTAGCTGTGTTATCTCTTGGGACTGTAAGTCCGTCGCTAATTTATGTTTGTCTTGGATAATCCGAGCCGTACCTCAATGAATCAAGGAATATAATTTTCTTAGCTCCTTTTTTTTTTAAGTATTTTTTCCCCTCTTCATGTCGTTTGACTTTCTAGCAATGAGCCTACAAATCTGGACGCAATGGAGAAAAAGGATTCATGCCCACATAGTGAGATTAAGGCTTTCTTGTTATTGTTGTTGCAGTTTACAAATCTCTTCTTTTTATTCCGTATGCAAGTCTTTCTGTCCCTTGAGACAACAAATCTCTACGACTCTCCCACCGCCGGAAAAAAGACTTAATATTTTACCCCCCATCAAGTGACAAAATACTAAAAGAAGCTTATAGCTGCCACTGCGTCAGTGCTGCATCATTTCTGCTTTTTTCTCCTTTACAGCCATACAGAAAAAGCTTCACCACTAACCACAAAGCAAAATATGAAAGACAAACCTCACCAAACAAAAAAAATCGCCAGTTCTCACTTTCCCACAGCCGCCTTCCCCCAATCAATCATCAAGACCCCATCTAGTTATACACTAACAAGCGAAAACACATTTCCAAAACACTGCAAGCTCTTTCACTTCTCCCATAACACATAAATAGTTCCAACAAAAATTAAAGCACAAAATACACTAAAAAAGTCCATCACAATATCAGTAGTTAGCACTTGAATCATCCATCAGTTGCTTCCCAGCTCCTGTAGCACAGCCTCCATGGTTGGCCTATGGCCCGGAATCTCGCTTGTGCACATCAACGCTATTCCCGCAATCTTCGCAGCTTCCGTAATGGAGAAGCACTTATTGAGTTTCCCGTCGATGAGCTCGTCTAGTTGGCCAGAATCAGCAGTGAGTCGAAGGTGAGTTACCTTCGTCTTCCCTGTCAGGATCTGGAACACGATAACTCCAAACGAGTAAACATCGCTCTTCTCTGTGAAGCGGCCGGTCGTCGTGTATTCGGGAGCGAGATAGCCCATTGCGGCGCTAGCTTTGAGAGTTGAGAAGATAACATCGTCAGCTAAGAGCTTGTGCAGACCGACAGCAGATAGCTTGGGAACAAAATTTTGGTCTATCAGTATCTTATCAGCTGATATGCTTTTGTGAACAAGAGCTGGCTTGTTTGCTCTGCTGCTGTGGAGGTATTCAATTCCTGGATGAGAATGACTTTTACATTAATTTGACTTGTATGAAAAGATCATCAAATGGCATGCTGTTGTTCTTCAGAGAAAATTAAGTACTTCTAGTAGGTTTGGTGGTTGATGCTTCTATTAGTCATAGAAAAATAATATAGAAAAAGGCAATATTGAATACCTTTAGCTATGCCCTTGATGATGGAAACCCTAGTAGACCAGTCTAGAATCCTCTCCTTTTCATCATCCTTCGCATCTAGATAATTAGATAAGCTTCCATTGGCGACAAAATCATACAAAAGAAAGCACTCTCCTCTAACTCTGGAACAACAAAACCCTTTCAAACCAACAAGGTTCTCGTGTCGGAGTAATGTCAACATCTTCAATCCCTTCAAAAACTCAGCTTCCTCGGTCTTACAGCTCGTCTTCGTGATGCTCTTCACTGCAACAAGGCTTCCATCCCTCAACATCCCTTTATAAGTCGACACAAAGTTTGTCTTCCCGAGCAAATTAACCTCTGAGAAATACTGAGTCGCGCATTCCACTTCCTCCAGATTGAATCTGAAGCTCTGAACCTCTTGAGAAAATCCATTGCTGCTCCCACCATCAGCCAAAGGATCCCACCCGTTCTCCGTTCGTGTTCTCGAGGTTGATGAGAGGAGACACTCTCTTTCTGAGGACTTCTTTCGCTTGATCAGTGCTGAGTCTGCTATCTGAGAGTTCGAGTGAGCTCCCGATCCTCTGTTTCTGTCGGCGGTACCATACAAATACAAATAGTCCTAAGATTACAACGCCGATTGAAACAACGATTACGACTACAATGATGGTGATGGCTGATGATTTTGATTTGTTTGAACAGTGAGAAAAGTTGCAGTTTTGGCTGAAATCAGCCGACTGAGGAATCTCTTTTGGAAGCAGCCCAGCGGAAGCATCAGGGCCGCCATATGGCTCCGGTCTGTTCGGATTAAAGAAGTCGGCGGAAGTGCAAGCTTGAAGCGAAGAAAATCCGACGCCACACAGCCCCTTATTATTGGAGAACTGAAACCCTTTGCTTAGTCTCTGTAAATCTATATCAGAAGAGTTCATGAAATATTTAGTAAAAAGATAATGCAAGAACACTTGGATTGAATTGACAGAGAAATTACCAGAGGGGACATAACCGGAGAGGGAATTGTTCCGAACATCTAATACAGATAGCTGAGGGAGCTGAGCGAGCTTCCTTGGAATTGAACCGAAGAGTCTGTTGAAGCTCAAATCTAGCCGCAGGAGCTGGGGTAGGTCGCCCAAGCTTGCAGGAATGGCTCCAGTTAGCTGATTGGATTGCAGCGCAAGAACAGAGAGCTTACTCAAAGCTCCCAGCTGGGTGGGTATGCTACCTGTCAACCGGTTATAGCACAGCTGCAATACTGCAATAAGAGGAGAACACCAATATCTTTTAAAAACCACAGATTCTGAAATGGAGAAACTTTTCATAATTCTAATGAGTTATGCAAGAAAAAATGAGGAATGGGATTGGGATAGAACTATTTCAAATCACCAAAAGAATATAAAACGCACAAAAAGAAGGAAAAAACGCTAAGAATTTCTGTAAAGATTTGGCCAATTTATTGCTACCTTAGGTTGCCATGGTCGCAAATTTCTGTAAAATGGCACCTTTTTTATATCTTACAAATTAGAGCAACATATACTGCATGTGAACTTCTCAAAATAACAGTGTACTAAATATGCGTACAAAATTCCTTCACAAGGCATCAATAAGGCTCCACAAATTAACAATAAGCTAAGGTCAAGTATAAAAATGAGGCGCAACGACAAGTTATGCATGAGAAAAATCATACTTTGAAAGGAAAGGATTGGAAGTAGAGCCACGAAAAAGGGACAAAATGTAAAATAAGTAAAGATGGAACATTTCTAAAGGCCGGATCTTTTGAAAATTAATATGATAAAAAGCATTAGGCATCTGAAATCGGAGAGACCAAGTGATCGAAAAACCCGAAGAGTACAGTGTAAATGGCATTTAACTAATAAAACTCAAAATTGCAAAAGAGAAGATAAAATCTGCAGGGAAAGAAAAAAAAAGCGACAGAAAAGAGAAAGGAAGCAAGAAAAATCGGTAAAAACTCCAACTTGCAAGACACCCGGCTACAAATACAAGCATGCAGAAGCAAACAAGCTTCACCCTTCCTGCTCCATTTTCACGCAGTACATCGGTGCAGGAAGCTTCCACCACAGAAGCACTTCTAAAAAACTTAACTGAAATAAGCCCAACTGAAACAAATTTCTTCAGCAAAATCCAAACTTTATCCTCGAGAAACAATACCCACCCTTCAAAACCCAAACAACCTTCCCAACCGAACCAAAATCCTCAGGCAAAACTTTATCCTCAAGGACTAAAACCCATCCTTCAAAACCCAAAGAACCTTCTTTGAACTAACCTTCAAGACTAGCCATTTTGCCGATTTCCGACGGAATGCCTCCGGTGAGCCCATTGACGTTGAGGTAGAGGTCCGTGAGCTCAGTCAGATTCGCAATCTCTTTCGGTATCTCCCCTCTAAGTGCGTTGTAATGTAGATAAAGCCCAGAAAGGCATCTAAGTTCCTTCACCGCCGGTGAGATAAAGCCAGAGAGCCCCTTTCCCTGCAATGAGATGTTCGTTACTTTGCCATGCTCGTTGCATGCGACTCCCTCAAAGTTTCCACGACAAGGGTCACCTCTGGAAGTCCAAGAAGAGAGGTAGTGACCCTCGGGGTCAAGAGAAGACTTGAGCACCATTAGAGCTCTGAGCTCAGGGTTTCCTTGAGCGAGAAGAAAGAAGAATAGCAAAGATAGGGGGAGCAGAGGGTAAGCCATTGATAGGAAAAGAGGAAGCTTTCCCTGTGGTTGCTTCTCCGGTTCTCCCTTGGCGCCGGTAGTGGATGCTGTGCAGCTGGAAGAGCTTGTCAAGCTCTGAGTGCAGTGTGAAGGGAACCTAGAAAAGCCCAAAAAGGCTGGGAAAAAGAACACAGTTCGGGAAGGCAAATGCTTTTCTTTTTAGTATTATTATTGTAAATTCATTACACTGTTTTTTCGTTTTTTTCTTTTTTTATTACTGAGCACAGGTGCTTTTGAGTAAGAATGTAATAACTAGTAAGTAACAACTGCAGAGAAATTCAAAATCTCAACTACTCCGTAATGGGGCCTCCTAATAACTAATGGTTTATCAGTTTTTTTTTTTTTTCAAATTCAGTTCTTTTAACTCGTAAAGAAAAGATTTTTATAATGTCAAAGTTGATTTGTTAGAAACTTTCCGACCGATCAATTCAGTTAATCGCGGAATAAATAGCAATATGGATTCGCTGCAGTTATTAATGCGGGAGGTCCTCTAGTACAAATCAAAGTTGCGCAGCTCATTAACATCTTAGGTTTCTTTGACTGCTGGTAAACGGATTAAAATCTCTTGTGATTTGTTGTTGCACATTTGAGATTTAGCTTATCTGATCCAGAATCCTTCCTCTCCGGTGCGGCTCCGCTTCGATCAGCTTCCACTCCTTGGCCTTGTATACCAATCTCAGGTTGAGGTTTAATATTAAACAACTTGGTTTAATTCAAAATTATTGGGACTTATCATTCAACACACACAGTGGTTATCTTTTACATCAAACCCCATATATATCCTTGAACTCTTACATAAAACAAGTTTGCACAATGCAAAGCTGCTGTTGACACCATTATCCAAACAATCCTACTCCTCAAATGGAAAAAATATTACATCACGAGTCCTGATGCAAAATTGTATTAAGACTCCAATCACAATACACCACATATACTGTCTAGCCCCGTCATGCATCAAAGTATTTAGTTTTTTTATTTAATAGGGTCGGATCGTATATGTGGTGCATTGTGATTGGAGTCATTGTGCAGATTAGCATCAAAACTCCTTATATAATATTTTTTACTTTCAATGAAACTTCCAAACTCATTCAAGATACTCACAAGTACAGACAAATAATTGGCTTTCATCAATATTTAACCCTCACACAACCCGACATAACATTTACAGTAAGCTATTGTAATTCTGAATGAAATGTTATCATTGAAAGCGACCATCGACCTTCAAATTATAAATATTGACACTAGATGAGGTTAGCCCATTTGCTTTCCAATAGGTTTATGGCTAGGGACCATCAGGTTATCATCTAATTTATGTGAAAAATATATTGCAAAAACCTCTCGATCTCTTTACTTCTCTTCTCTTTTGTGTTTACAATCATGGGACACATTACAATTAAGAGTTGCATGGCTTTATGGAGTGACGAGTTCATCTTTTATCGCTTATAACTAACCACCACTAATTCGTGACATTTGTAATCTCTAATTTCCATAGATGATATGACCACCCCTCATTTGTAATCTCTAATTTTAAGGGAAAAAATAGGTCCACGAGCCCAGGAACACCCCATTTTCCCCCTGTCGAGGGAAGTCCTCTTCTCTCTATCTCTCTCTTCTCTCTCATTTCTCCATTTCTCTCAATCACCTCTTATCTCTCTCTTCTCTCTCATTTCTCCATTTCTCTCAATCACCTCTTATCGATCCAATGCTCTACTCCTTGGACACGATCTACTGGATAAATTTGGATCTAACATTACTTCATGTAATATAATTATTTAAAATTACAAGAGAATTAATCAAATTCGGTAGTATTTACCCATAATTGATGAGAGTTGTTCCATATAATAATGAATGCAAATGCTTGCAAAGAATAAAAGAAGCATGGACACAAAATCTAGCCAATAAAGAACACAAAAACGAGGATGAAATGGGAGACCAACCTTCAAAAACGATGATGGAAAAAACCATAATTCTTAGTAGAAAACAAGCAAAGAGAAAGAACATGAAGAAGAGATGGTCCCTTGTCTTTTTTTTTTTTTTTAACTTTCTTTCTACTTAGAATATTAGCCAAGCTTAAAAATACTTAATTAGGGAGAAACAAAATACACCATTTGATTACGTTAAAGGGACTAATTAGCCAAAACCTAACCTAGTGCAATCAAATATGTTCATCTTATTGCTTACTTTTTTTAGATATGTTTAAAATGTGTATATTTTAGAAATATACAATAATTAGAATGCATACTTCTAGAAATAAAAGAATTACTTAGTTGGGATGCAAATCAAATGCTTCATTTTTTTTTATTTTTTTTTTATAATACATTTCAAATATGATAACTTAAAATTGTGGTTGTAGGTGGTAGTGAGGATTGAGGGCATCAATTGTATTAGATTATGGTAACAGGCAACAACAACGGTATGGTCAGCAATTCGAGCAATTGGATTGTATTTGAGTCCGACTCAAATTTAACTCGACCCAACCAAGTATAACTCAAGCACGACTTATCTTTTAACCAATTGAGAAAGTTTAGCTCAAGTCAAACTTGTGTTTAATCAGACTGACTCAAAGATGAACTGAGTAACATATTTAGAACATGACATAACCACTATTTGGTTGGAATTTGAGTTTGAGTCAAGTTTAAATGCTTGGCTTAAATTTAACCCAAGATGGATCCTCTTAATAAACTACATCTTAATAAAATACGTGACACAATGGACATCGATGATGAGCATTTAATTGCAGGAGTGGCCACAATACAACATTCCCAATGCAATAAAGGTGGCAATCTCAGAATGTCCCTCAAAATATTATATTGCATGCTTAGATACAAATATAAACGTTAAAACATGAAATAAATGTGCATTTTTTTTTCATTTGTTTATTTTTATTTTTTAAATATTTAAAACTTTTAAAAATTATTAAAATTAATTAAACATGTTATAATATATAGAGCAAATTTAATTTCAAATTAAAATTTAAATAAAATAAAATAAAAGTTATAATCTAAAGTATGACTTCTAAATTTTTATGTCATCAGGATAGATTATCCTCGAGAACATATTACATAAGAGAATCTGATATAAAAATGCATTAGAACTTCAACCACGGCTTATCACCTGTAGAGTTCAACCCTTCTTAATAAAAAGACTAAATAATTTAATATATTTATTTGTACATGTGATTAGGGGTGTAAACGACCCAAATACTTATTTATAAATAAGGCTCAGCTCGTGTTGGGCTCGTTTATATTTCGAGCTCAAAAAGTGTGTTCGTGTTCGGCTCTCTTGCTTAGCTAATCGAACACAAGTCGTTCACGTTCAAAGAGTTGTTTTGATAACCCTAATCAGGTATCCATAAGCTGTTAAGGCTTGGGTTAAGATTTAAAAATTATTTTTTATATTAAAATATCATTTGAATCTATTTAATAATTTTTATTCTATTTTCTTGATTAATACTTATAATTGATTATAAATTTTTATAGTCTTGTAGTCAATTAAGGTTTTTAAAAATACTACTCATCAAATATATATATATATATATATATAATTGATTAATAGTCTTTCGAGCCATAATGAACAGAACATGAACAAACAAATCTTTGTTCGTATTATTCGTGTTTGATTCATTAACTTAGTGGACGAGCCAGACAAGAGCTGTTCGCGAACAAAAAACGGCTTTTATGTATTTTTATATGAGTACTCTTCACCCTTATGATGCATCCCCGTGAACAAAATTGGAGAAATTCTATTATCCCTGCCCACTGACTCCCGTGACCCAAAATTACACGCGTACCCTTTTCTAACTCACATGCCCCCCATCTTGAGCTGTCGTTAGTCGGATATTATTAAATTACAAAAAAACCATTTCAAAATTTGAATCCCATCTTGCAACGGATAAGTGCCCGTCATTCCAACGTACGGCCAAAAATTTAACTACATACTGGTCAACTAAAAAAAAATAATTACATACATACCCTACATACCACATAACCTTATACGATTTTCATATTTAAAAAATTACATTTATACCACATCTCTTGTGTGTTCACATATCTAACACTTGTGCCACTTTATCTATGCTTGAAAAGGTTTACTCTACCTTTTTTTAATTTAATAATAGTGATTTTTTGATGTGATAATGAAGTATTTGAGTATTATACATATAGACATTAAAATTTATTTGTTAGATATGTAAATGCATAGGAATAGTGTGGTGTACATGAAAATGCCCCTTTCATATTTATCATATAAATTTTAACATTTAGTTTTAGGGGCATATGCATACAAACCACATAATGCTTATGTATATACATATATCTAACACCTCAACTTTCATGTACATATAGATAACATTCTAATCATTAGTATCACATTAAAAGTACTATTATTTTTAACTTTTTAAAGTGAATGACACTTTTTCGTGAATAGGTTCATTTCACCAAGATGTTATAAATATAAATATCAAATTCTCAGGTACTAGATATATGAATGCATAAGAAAGAATTATATGATATATCAATGTAATTTTTTTTAATTAATATTATAAACTTATATATGAAAAGATATATTTTGTTTTATAAATTCTGTTTGGGGCAGCTTGTGCGTTTCAGGATAAGCTGATTATTCTGAAACACGGTCAGCTGGCCGGCCGCGGGGGTCTACTCGCGGCCTGCGTTTTGTGTAAAAACTCAAACGTAATTTCGGATAAGCTGGCAAAACGCGCGGACGAAACGGTACGGCGGCGTTTTGAAAATGCCGCCCGCACTTATAAGCTGCCCCAAACAGACCCTAAAATGTTCTTGCTACGTTCAACGTCACGGACTTGACCATGTGATATGACCCAACAACTTCGATGAATGAGGTCGGAGCTCTCCCAACCTCGGGAAACTGACGCGGGGGCTTGGTTGAACCAGCTTAACCGGTTCAACAAGGGGTGTCAATCCAATAAGAAGGTTGGACTGGCCGGCTAAGCTATTGGGCGGGAACTGACGCCCCTTTCTCCCCCTCCTATTCCATCTACTATTATACATATGTTGCTTGTTTCAAGGTTTAGTAATGGCTGGCTTCAAATTTTTATCCCCATGTGTCTACCCTTGTTAGGTTGTATCCTTCCCGAGGACAGATAGTTCTCCGGCTATATCCTACTGCA